CAAATAGAAGCCTTCATAGTAGATGGAGAGATTACATAAGGAAGAAAGCTTTGTTCCTCGCTTTTATTGCATTTTGCCTTTGGCTCTCCACATATGTAGCCAGCCATCACCGCTACAAGGACACATGTGGGAGCCAACCTGTGCAATTAAATGGCATTTTTGATAGCTTTCTGTTTGCAGAGAAATATAGTGGGAGGAGGGGCTCTCCAGTGCTTTTGGACAGGAAGTTTCTTCCTTTTTCGCCACACTGCCCCAGATAAACCGAGTGCTCAGCTTCTCCTATGTATGTGAAATGGTGAAATGTCAGCAAATGGCTGGGGCATCAAGGAATTGAGACAGGAAATCCATACCACTGTCTGTGAATTCCCCAGGCTGCCTCTAAGTGACCAAAGACTCTAATCAAAAGTTATGAGCCGGGCCGGGCGCAGTGGCTTACACCTGTAATCCCAGCACTTTAGGAGGCCGAGGCGGGTGGATCATGAGGTCAAGAGATCGAGACCATCCTGGTCAACATGGTGAAACCCCCTCTCTACTAAAAATACAAAACATTAGCGGGGCATGGTGGCACATGCCTGCAATCCCAGCTACTCAGGAGGCTGAGGCAGGAGAATTGCCTGAACCCAGGAGGCGGAGCTTGCGGTGAGCCGAGATCGCGCTGTTGTACTCCAGTCTGGGTAACCAGAGCGAAACTCCATCTCAAAAAAAAAAAAAAAAAAAAAAAAAAAAAAAGGTTATGAGCCACACAGCTGCTTCTGAAACTCCCTGCCTGAGCCATTCAAGAGAAGTGAGGCAGAATTGAACACACAGGATTGAAGGAGAAGAGAATACCAGCTAGGCAAGAGGTCTGGGTATAAAGACAACTGTCAGTTCCTCAGAATGACTTGCATAGGAATTATGCCATTCTGCTGTGAGATTATGAGACATACATGTAGAAGCTGGTGCTTATCAGATAGAAAAGGAAGGAGGTGAATCAAACCACAAGCTACCAAGGAGACAGATGGCCCATGAGGGTGCAAGAGCAGAGCAGCCTCTTCATATAAGCACTTAGATCTGCTCAGAAACAATAAAGGCAGAAAGCCACCTGTTTATTGCTTCATCCAGCCAGGGAGGAACCTGTGCCAGACTTTAAAGCGCTGACAGGCCAGAGCCAGAACAACTGAATTATAAAAATGGACACAATCACTAATGTCATATGAATAATACATCTGTTATAATTCTGCTTTCCAAAGTAGTTTTCAAGACACACAAAATGTAAAAGAATTCTAGAAATAATCATCTTGTCTGCATTTTCTACTCCAGTGCATCCAGTCAACTGGTAAATGCAGCATGGCTAACTCTTGAATACCTGCATAGATGGAGGAATCTGATCATAGAGAACTACAAGTAGTCCTACCTCACCTTATCTAGAATTTGTCACATCTGGCTTTCCACAAACTTTACTGGAGTTGAACACAAGTTGCAAAATAGACGATTTCATTCTTCTTTGTCTGGACAACCTACTGTTGGAGTTACATATCAGCAAAGAATTATTTGAACAATATAGAGTAGGATAAAGAGAAACAAAGTCTTATAATTCCCAAACTGAGTAATCAAATGATTCTTACTAAATGATTATTGCTGGGCGTGGTTGCTCAAGCCTGTAATCCTAGCACTTTGGGAGGCTGAGGCAGGCAGATCACTTGAGGTCAGGAGTTCGAGACCAGCTTAGCCAACATGGTGAAACCTCATCTCTACTAAAAATACAAAAAATTAGGTGTGGTGGTGGGCTTCACCTGTAATCCCAGCTACTCGGGAGGCTGAGGCAGGAGAATAGCTTGAACCCAGGAGGTGGAGGTTGGAGGTTGCTGTGAGCTGAGATTACGCCACTACACTCCAGCCTGGGCAATAGAGCAAGACCCTGTCTCAAAAAAAGGATTTCAAGTACAGACTCCTACATATAACACAGTGAAAAATGGAAATTCAAAGATACGGTTATTAATATTCAACTTTTTGAGAAAAATATTTGAGAAGAGAAAAAAGATAGCAAGATCCTGCTATACAAGTACTTACTAATTTAACAATTTTTTTCTTAACAAAGATGGGGAGGAAGATGACAGTAACTAAACCTGCCGTAAGAGAAAACAAAGGACCCAGTGGAAAAGCGGGGAGGTGTGAAGGGCATGGGGAAGAGACCAGTAAAGATAAGACCATGAAAACAGCGTGCTTCACACTCAAAAGATTGCCCTTCCCATGATCAGTGGAGCCATGTTCTATGCATACAATTATCACTTTGGGGAATTTGAGTTTACAGTGCTCAGTCTGGAAGATAGTAAATGCTATGAAGGAGGGATAGGTGGCTCACTCCTGTAATCCCAGCACTTTGGGAGGTCAAGGCAAGAAGACTGCTTGAGCTCGGGAGTTCAAGACCAGCCTGGGCAACATAGTGAGACTCCAGCTCTCCAAAAATTAAACAATTAGGTGAGGAGGAACATACTTGTAGTCCCAGCTATTCGGGAGGCTGAGGCAGGAAGATCAGGAGATCAGGGCTGCAGTTAGCTATGACGGCAACACTCCACTCCAGCCTGGGTGACCCTGTCTCAAAAATTGTGTGTGTGTGTCTATAGGTATATGTACAAATGTACACATATATACATACTGGGAAGAGCAAAAATGAAGGGATGTGTGAGAAAATTCTATTTGCAGTGAAATTTAGCCATGGCTTCTGTTCTTGGTAGATGTGTTTGTTGATCAGCTTATTACATCTCTGATAGCACTGATGGAAGTGAACTGAGATATATGTTGGAATTTGAATTTCGGAAGCCCAGACATAACAGTATATAATGCATGGAGGCTTTGGAGTGTATGTGACATGAATGGCATGGTTTTCTTTGTTGTTTTAATGTTTCTTTCCACTTCTCTCTCTCTATAGGTGAAAGAAAAAGAGTATGTTTTTACATGTGTGTGGGAGAGAGGTGAAATTAATTTTAAATTTGTTCTATCTCTTTCACTATACTCATTTTCTAAATACTGATTTTTTTGAGAGGTCAGATTTTACAGCTGGTAAAAATAAGAAATGGACACCAATGTATATTGCCACTGTTTTGATGTCAACATGAAATTCTCTTCAATCCTCCCGTATTAGTCTACAATGCATTGCTATAAAGGAATAGCTGAGACTGGGTAATGTATAAAGAAAAGATGTTTATTTGGCTCACGGTTCTGCAGACTGTACAAACATGGCAGCAGTATCTCGTGAGGGCTCAGGAAGTTTTACTCATGGTGGAAGATGAAGGGAGAGCAGGCAAATCACATGGCAAGAGAGGGAGCAAGAGAGAGGAGAGGAGGTTCCAGGCTCTTTTAAACAACCAGCTCTCACATGAACTAAGAGCGAGAACTCACTTATAACCACAAGGACAGCACCAAGCTATTCATGAGGGATCCACCCCATGACTCAAAACACCTCTCACTAGGCCCACCTCCAACACTGGAAGTCAATTTCAAACTAAGATTTGGAGGAGACAGACATCCAGATCATATCACTTCCCTTGACTGTAATTCAGCTAATTGCTCAAGTTTATCAGCATTGAGAAGTCTCTCTCTCTTGCTATACCACCAGCTTTCATGCAAATCCATCCTACAAATATTTATGAAGAGCCTGCTGTGTCCAGGCTCTCATACATTAGCGGTCCTGCCTACCTCAAGCCATCTGTGTTCCTGTAGTTCTATATCCATTTCCAGATGCTCCTGATAGTATGATATTTATCATCTCACTTTCTTACTTCAAATATATTGATAGTTCTCCATAGTATCCTGAAGAAAAATCTAGTTCAATGGTAGTAACATTGAACTTGGTCTCAGAACAGCTGGGTTATACTTCCAGCTCTGCCATTGACCTTCACCTCTATGCATGTCAATTTCCTCATCTGTATCCAACACAGCACCATGGTAACTAGTCTAGTGGACTTTAGTTGTCGCTCACAACAGGAGTTATTTTTCATTCCCACTTTACACCTGAAGAAACAAGGGTCACTTACTTAAGTCATTTGCCCAAAGCTGCTCAGCTAGGGGCTAGAATTTAAGAATGTGTTCGGATCCAAAGCTTTTTTTTACAACATCCCTGTAAAATAAGATTGAAACAGCCCTCTTTGTGTACTGGCCAATACAGGAGCTACCCGCTGTGTGGTTATTTAATTAAAATTAAATTTCAGTTCCTCAGTCACACTACATTTCAAGTACTGAAAGGCATGTGTGGCTTATGGCTGCCATATAGGCAGTAGATTCTAGGACACTCTGTCAGCATAGGTTTTTCAGACAGGCTCTAAGTTCTAGTTAGCACTTGGCTTCTATGATTCCCTGATTTCTCAACCCGACCTAAAAGCCCTTGCAGAGCCTGACTCCAGCTCCTTTACTGTTGGGTTACTCATAACTCTCAGCCAGGCTCTTTATGTGCCTGCCAGACTAGGCTCTATCTCTATGTCTCCCATTGTAACTAACTCAGTGCCTTCTATTAAGCAGGTAGTCAACACAAGGATAGACGGACCTATGGAAGAAAGGAAGAGATGAAAGAAGGGAGTGGCATACATTCATGCTTTCATTAGACATACTTATTGAGTGACTGCTACGTGTTAAGCACTTTTAGGTTCCTGGGATTACTATAGTTAACAGACAAGGTCTCATGAATCTTCTTTCTGGTTGGGTGGAAAAGTGGGGAACAGATCATGAAGAGGTTTACAGGCGAATAAAAGTTCAGCTAGTGGACCAACCATAGGCAGACCTGAGTGGTATATCTTCCAAGAAGAAACTGCTGCTGAAATACTTTTGCATACTTTGATGAGATGTCTCATTTGTCAGCTTCTGATTTATGAGCCAGAATAAGTACCCAGTTTAATAATTTTAAAATTACCCGGGAGGAAGGCTACAACAAGGAATTGGGTGAAACAATTTAGTAAGACAGATTAATATGTAGTCTATTAAAGCTGAAATGGCATTTATCTTCTGTAATGTTCTCGTTTGTTGTATAGCTTTGTTCCTGGACCACATAAAGCTACCCTGAAAGATGATGTATTACAGAAGGCAAAATTCTTTCAAGATAAAAAATATCTTTCAAGAGTAACAAGAAGTGGCAGAGATGGTGCTATTCAAAATTTTATCAGAAACACCTCCCATATTTTTAAGAATGGAAAAAGGGTGACAAAAACTGCTCTTCAACAACACGGTAAAAGAAATGCTTGAACAACATAGCCTTAGGAAGTATGGTAAGACTCTGGACTTCAACAGTAACTAAATCTGCTGCCGGAACTCAAGCAACAGTTTGTAGGTTATCAGGTGACTTGACCTCCTGTATTCATTAGTATTGATTTATTTTGTTCATTTATTTGACCACTCCTGACAATTCTAGCACTCTAAGACTGATATATCCAGGAACTGTTTCATTAGAAGACAGAAGAATGAAAGAAGTGTTTTGAAAAGTCTAATGGAGACGTAATTTGAAGGTAAAATTTGTATGATGTATGCATGTGTACATGGGTTTAATTCTTTTGTCTCTGTCCAGTTGATTTTCTGCACACTCATCCGCCTTTCCTAATTTGGTAATATCTAATGCTCATCTATTTAACGAAAGTTATTTTTAAATGTTTTAAGCCATTCCAAAATTTACCCTAGAAATGGATGCTGTTTATGTATCGTCTTTTTAAAAATTTGACCTTCCATGTTTAAACGCACCACTGTGGGAGTTTGCTTGGCCTAATGAAAAAGGGTAATTTTCTCCAGATCTAAATTCTCCTAAACTCACTGAAAAAGTCATTAATTCCCACAGAACATAAACTACTGCTTTTGAGCTAGAACTTTTCTCTTCATTATGAAGCTTACTGCCATTTTGAAGGAGCCTGAAGCCATTTTGATGGACTTCTAGTCTGTCTTTCCTCTTACGGTCATTTATTAATTTTCACTAATCCATATATTCTTTAGACAAGGAGAATCAAGACACAACTTGCCATAGATGAAGCTCTGAGTTAATTTTACCTAATCACGTAGCTGTTTAGTCAGTAATAAACAGCACCAAAACATGACTGGCAGAGCTCTTAAAAACACCCTTAAATACACACTGAGTGTGGAAAAACACAAGAAGATTGTTGTTTTAATCTACAAATTCATATGCAGTTGCAGAGATGCTAAAGAGATCAGAGTAAGTTAGAGTAGGAAAGGTTTTAGAAGTACCTGGTCTCTAGCAGCATGCTCTAATGGCTGTATCCTCATCTGCATTTCATTTTTATTTTTATGATAGGGCTATTTTCAACAACACCCAGTATCTGTAGCATTATTTAATTTTAACACAATGTTCAGACCTTACTTCAGTCTAAGGGCTGGCTCCACAGTTGGTAGCAATGACCCTGTTAATCCAGAATATCCCTCTCTTTGGGAATGGAAAGAAGCCCTGCTTGGTGGAAGCATGGAGCAGATGGATACTGACATTCAGATTTTCTTTCCTATACCTATTTTCATAAAACTTGGAAAGAAAATTTATCTGCGGTATTTTTTGTAAAACCACTTCTGCCATTCTTACTCAGGCAAATCCAAAGACAGTACCTAATGTCTTCAGAGGAGCAAGAAATTCAGAGTTAAATGTCACATTCATACTCAGGTAATAGAGAAGAATAAAACACATCAGGTTTGTTTCATCTATCCTAAGTGGTGCTTAGGGGTTCAGGAAAAATGTTTCCAGTACAGGAAATTAATGAGCAATATTTACGACATATTTTAATGAAAGAGGTTTTTCTGGTTAACTTTTGAGTTAAGCACAAACTCCCTTTGTTAATTGTTACAAATACTATTAAGATGTATGTGTCTGTTTTTCTGCACTGGCAAGTAAAGAACAAATATTCCCTTGGCGATCGATTATTTTTAGCATTTTGGGCCATCTTTTGAATTACTAATAGGTGAGAGCTTTAAGGCATGCTGCAAATGGAAGTTCTTTTCTAAAAATCCCTAATACTATTTTCCCTGAAAAGTGGAAACAGCAAAAATTAAGTTTAAATATAGCTTTACTAAATTTATATTCAACCAGGAATCACAGAAGCAGGATGCTTCTTTGACTCTTAAAGGAACTGCCTCCCATTATCTCTGCACTGAGCTATGAGTCAAACTTTTTTTTTAGGTAGAGGTTAAAAGGAGATGCAACTTAACATGGTATCAGATTGTAATACTTAGAATTCAACCAAATAACTTTTTTACTTTTTTTTTTTTTTTTTCAAAACTGGGGCTCTTTTGTGGGGCAGGAGGACAGAGAAGAATGGGTGGTAAGGGGAGAAAAGGGTATCTCTGTCAGCCCACTCCATTTTTTTCCTCAGCATTTCCCACATTTATCAGTCTTACAGCTTATCTAATGGCTCCAGGCTGAAGTCCAATCTCAGCATTACAGTTTATATTATCAAAAAAATTTTCCCAATCCCCTGCAGACTCTAAATCTGACTTAGTAGCTAGAAATCCTGTAAATATGGTCTTAGCAAACTTTAAGGGAAACAAAAGCAAGGCACCATGACAATGCCAAAGTTGCAATTTCTACTAATCCACTAAGCTATCAAGCCTAGTTAGACCATCACTCCTAACTTTGAGGTTTCTAAATGACTGGGCATTTTTTGTCAGTAAACAAATAACTCTGCAGTTTTGTTGTTTACCTGTCTAAAAACTAAGTACAGTTGGCTCTCTGTAGCTGTGGGTTTCACATCCATAAATTTAACCATGGATAAAAAAATTCAGAAAAAAAGGATGGTTGTGTCTGTACTGAACATGTACAGACGTTCTTCTTTTCATTCTCTAAACAATACAGTGTAACAACTATTTATATAGCATTTACATTGTATTAGGTATCACAAGTGACCTAGAAATAATTTAACGTATATCAGAAGATGTGTGTAGACTATATGCAAATACAGCATCGTTTTATATAAGAGACTAGAGCATCTGTGGCTTTTGGAATCCTTGGTAGGTCCTGGAACCAATACCCCAGAGATACCTAGGATGATTGTATTGAATCATGAAACTAGATGTATACTTTGTAAACCACATGTACTGCAACTTAATTATCATTATAAAACTATAGAAAATTCTTAGAGTATTTCTAAACAAGTAGGCTTTTCCCTTGGCTGAGATTATCTATTCAACCTTTCGGTTTTATAGACTCATGTAACTAATTTTAAACTTAAATATTTTGAATGTAATAAACCCTTCTACAAGTGGATGAGAATTAAATATGGAGAGAGTCTGTATGCAAATAGTAATCCATAACCTTCAAGGGGTTTATCATAGTGGAAAAGACCAATTTTGGCCTTTTAAAAATGTAAACGTCCGGTGTATTTTTAACAACTTGTTTTCTTTTTCATGCATTCAATAGTCTATACTGGATAAAAGCAAGTTGTTGGGCCCAGCGTCAGAATTTATGGTACAGCCCATGAAACATGGTAATGGCCAAGAGGAGGCACACTTGTATAACGAATATGTTGGAAATCAATTCTACAGTGTTAAATAACTAATAAGGTAAATTGTAAAACACACACAAGATATGTAAGACAGAGCAGAAATAGCACAGTATTTAGAGCCCAGAGATTGGGACCTAACACCTAGTTTTGTCGTTGATTCCTTGTGATATAGAATCCATTTCTTCACCTTAGAACAAATGCTGCTAAAATTTACCATTTAAAAACACCATGGAAAGCACAAACTCTTAGGATGCATGAACACTAACTGCTTTGAATAGCATTTTTAATAGCAAAAATGTGTTTATACTATAATAGCTTACAATCACCTTTTCAACCATCTTTTTCAATACAAAATAAACGTTTGTTTTCATATTTTATATTTCTCATCTCTGTTAACATATACAATAAAAATCCCAGACATTACTGGCTGGCCGATTCTTGCAAACAAATGCGTAAGTAAACTAGTCAAGTACATCTTAACCATTTTGAGTATAATTTAGTCATAAAACAGGAATATAGAGACAAAATTTTGAAAATTAAGCAAATGAATCTGTTCTCTAGAAATGTCTTTTCTCTTGAGTTACAGTAGTATATATAACTATAACTTTTTATTACAATTTATACAAATCAGTAGGTTTTTATTTCCACACCTTCACAATCCCATCTCTAGAAGCAGTTACGATGAAGCCCTGTGTTGTCTGGAATGTGGCAACATCAGTGATGATGTCGTGATGTCCCACGGGCAGGGACTCTGGGCCCCTTCGAGGGGTGTCATCACTTGGTCCTACTTTCTGCTTATTCTGAATTTCCTGTTTGGTGATTAAAAGTCAGGGAGAAAGCCAGAAGTTAAAGTCTGTACCACATTCTTCCTCTCGTCAATAGTCATGCTTCTGAGATGCTCCTGTTGTATTTAAGTTAACACCTTTTGTAAAGTAGTCATGCTTTCACAAATACACAGAGTAAAACAAGTAAAGGAGCCAAAATGACATTCTACGGTCCTAGTCATTGTATTTCATGAGGAGCCGCTTCAGGCCAATATTGTGTGCATATTAACTTTTGCCAACATCAAAAGAAAAAAGGGATAGAATACTAGCAGATGTCCTAGTACTTCTAAAGCTTATTGTCATGAAGGAAGCACACTCTCATTTATGGAGTACCTACTTTGGCCCAGGCACCAAAGGTATGTTTTCTTTCTTGAAGTTTTTACCTGAGTCCAGAATACAAACTTTAGAGTCCCAACAGCCAGGTTTGAATCCCAGCTTTCTGTTTCCTAGCTGTGTGATCTTGAACAAGTTACTTAACTTTACTGTGCCTTTTTCATTTGTAAGAGGATAATAAAAAGTGCTTCTTTACGATGTTATAAAGTACCTACTGGTCATTTGAGCTATTACTTAATATGTACTTATTTTACCTTAATAAAAGTTAATTTTTTTAATACAGAAAATTCAAGAAACAATAAATTGAAAGTACTCCTCTCTTGCATCAAGCCATTTATCTTAATTCTGTTTATGAAAGCCATGTTTATGCTTACAAAAGTTGAAAGAAATGAAAAGATTACTGTACCTGGACAACTTCAGTGCCTTCAATTATTTTCCTGTAGTAGGACACAGATGGCGAACTAGTACTTCCTGCAACAACATAGGACCTTTCTGGGTAAGCCAAGTCCCAAAACCTAGGGGGAAGAGGAAATAAATAAGACTATCTATAGGACAATGGGAGAAACTGGTAATCATTGGCTTATCTTCATCAATGTATTGTAGAGGTTTTTTTAGAATAGCATACTATTGGTTACAAAGAAAGGATTAATAGCTGTCCTTATAAGATGATTTTAAACATTACAGTGCCATCAATATCTATAATAACACCTTGTAACAGTATCCATCTACATTTTATTCTTTTTAAGTATTCATTGAGATATAGTACCTTATTTTCATATCTGAGCCAGCTGTTAGCAGGATAGGATTTCCATCTGCAGGACTACAGTAGATACCATGAACACTATGAGGAGAAGGCTTAAAAGAAATAAATATGGAGTCAAATAAAAGACATCACTCTATGCCATAAATGATGGTGCTATTTCTACAGGCAAGTTAACTGTCAGAAGCTTTATAAGCACCTGGTTACCCGAAGAAGTGACAGACCAGTTATGTATGCTCTATCTACTTCAATCTGGGCTTTTCCTAAACATCACAAGCTTTATGGGGCTAGCAACTTATTTACCCAGTGCTGCAGACCACGTGCAAGGAAACACTCATGTAGCAATGGCCACATGAAACTTGATGTTGCTGAATAACCAAATTTAAATATAACCCAAAAGCCCAACAGATAATAGGTTTGATTAAACACCTGAAAGTGCTTACGATGTGGGGAATAGTATCATCCTTTACAGTAAAAACTGAAGTCAAACCTGTAATTCGGAAAGTGGTGGTGCACTGCTGGCCCAGAGAGTAAATCTTCTGTCACCAGTCTCCATGTCCCACATGGACACTTCATTGTTGCCCTGAACAGCTAAGGGAGACAAAGGCCAGAACCAGGATTCAGACAAAATGAGCTGGGGAAGATTGCAGCAAAACAAACTGCAGTACTGAGAGAAAGATAAACCTCTTTGTCTCAGCGGGAGAGACAATATAATAAGCTTTATTCAATTATTGTTATTTACTGAGTCGGTAAATACAGTAAATATTTTTACTATGGGCTAGTCACTGTACTAGACACTGAAGAAAAGATGGCAAACAAAGCAGAAAAATTCCCAGTTTCATGAACTTCCATTCTAGTGAAGACAACAGACAAAAATGCGAAGCAGGAGTATGCTGAGTTCAAAGAACAAATCAGTGTGGCAGGAGCAGACTGAGAATGGGAGCTAAGTAGGAGAAAGGGCAGTAGTGCTGGTCACTTTCCATTTGCTGCTCTAAATCTGGCCTGAATGAACCACATCAACAAGCTGGCTGGATTCACCAGCCTGTGGTAAGCTAAATAATGGCCCCAAGATACCCAAGTCCTATAACCTGTGAATGGTACCTTATATAGCTAAGTGACTTTACCGATGTGATGAAGTTAAGGACCTTGAGACAGATTATTCTGGATTACCCAAGGGGATCCCCCACATGCAATCACAAATCTTCTTAGACAAGGGAGGCAGATTTGGCAGCAAAAACAGAAAGCAATGTAACAATGAAACAAGATGCTATGTTGCTGGCTCTGAAGATGAAAAGAGGAGCCATTAGCCAAGGAATTTAGTTCTAGAAGCAGGAAAAGGCAAGGAAATAGATGTTCCCCTAGTACTTCCAGAGGGAATACGGTTCTGTTGCTACCTTGATTTTGGTCTACAAAACCCATTTCAGACTTCTGGCCTCCAGAATTATTTAATAAGTTGTGGTGTAATGGGAAACTAATACATGCC